ATATTATATATATATATATATATCCCTTTAGCGTTCCTGTAAAATTTGCCTAAAACGCCTAAAAGAGGCATACCCAAAGTAAATTGCATGCTGTTCTTGAACCATTTGGAGTACGTACATGGTTTTGGTCTCTTTTGAAAGGTGACACTCTGAGGTGTCAGAATCACTGTAAATATTATTGGTATTGAGTAATAGAACCTTGAACACTGAAAAATAAAATAAAAAATCTGCCTACATTTTATTTTTGTAAACAGATGCCTGCAGATGACTATAGCTGTGAGTTATTAGCTGGAAAATACATTTGGATCACAGAATAAAGTCTTACCAAGCAAAATGTTTCAAATTTGATAACAATACCTTAGAAAATGAGTGTTTTACACATGTTTATCTAAATTTATGTCTAGGCGCTTCCCAAAAAAAGCCATTGGAGACTCCAAATGACCCTTTGTAACCAACGACACATAAAATGCTGCAATTCTTGAATGCTTTAATGTACAGTCATAATTTTGGGCTCTAATGAAAGCTCACACTTAGACCTATTCAATTTCTTATCCAGATTCACTGTCAATAATTGCTGACACATAGTAACTGAAGCATAAACACATTATGTAGTGGTTTTTAAGATTTTTTTCAGAGGTGCTGTCATCATGTCCCTCAGTATATGGCTTTTTGCTGACTGACTCCCAGACTTCACTCGATTCAGTGTCAGATGATTGTCTGTGATATAAAAAAAGCAACACACACAACGTAAGTTAGCAGGAGCACCTCAAATCACAAACACATATAACAGACACACACAGACACACACACACACACACACACACATGACAGACGTTAGCAAGAACACCTCAAACACAAACACATAAAAATACACACACACACACAGAAGAGGTGTGCACTAACTGACTAACTGGTGCCACAACAACAACCTCTCTCTGAATATCAAGAAGACCAAGGAGCTGGTGGTGGATTTCAGGAGACGGACCAGTGAGCACTCCCCCATCACCATTGATGGGACTCCAGTGGAGCGGGTCAGCAGCTTCAAGTTTCTCGGCGTTCACATCACCGAGGACCTCTGGACTACTCACACACAGTCAGTAGTGAGGAAGGCCCACCAGCGTCTCTTCTTCCTCAGGCGACTGAAGAAATTTGGTCTGAGCTCAAAAATCCTCAGACAGTTCTACAGTTGCACTGTGGAGAAGCATCCTAACTGGCTGCATCACCGCCTGGTACGGGAACTTCACCGCTCTCAACTGGAAAGCCCTGCAGAAAATAGTTCAGACAGCCCAGCACATCGTCGGAGGTGAGCTTCCCTCCCTCCAGGACATCTACACCCAGAGATGTGTGAGGAAAGCAGGAAGATTATCAGAGACTCCTGCCACCCGAGCCACAAACTCTTCTTACTGCTACCATCAGGCAGACGATACCGCAGCATCAGGACCCGAACCAGATAGCAAAACGATAATCACCCACCTACCCCTACCCCTCACACTGGATTCCATTTACACACCAGCACACTGACTCTAGCATGTCTTGCACTGCATAGCATAGAACACATGCAGCTCCATCTTCTCTTCTGCACTAACAAACTACTGCACTGAACTTCACAATAAAACATTACAGTATACATCACTGTAAGTCATATATAAAAGCTATACATTTGTAAGTCTCTTGAGTATACTGTGTACTATGTGTATATTATGGAAATGTGTATATTGTGTACAATTGTCTATTGTATATTATGAAAAAATTGTATAAAATGTGTATATTGTTATTTATTTATACTGTTAATTTTTCATATCTTGTTGCTTGTACTGCCATGGAACAGAGTCTTGTACCCAAGAATTTCACCATCGTTACACTTGTGTACGATGTGTGACAATAAAGAGATTTGATTTGATTTCACACACACACACACACGCACGACAGAAGTTAGCAAGAACACCACAAACCTCAATATATACAGTAAAATGTATAATATACATAATTATATGTAAAATATATATAAATATAATTATATAATATAATAAAACACTTACTTTTTGAGTGTGACCTGTCCTCCATCCAAAATCATCTCCTCTTATCTGCTTCAATGGATGAAATATCGCTTGCTCTGTCAAAAAACACTTTTATTTTCCGGCCAATTTTATTGTTATACATTGTTTAACAACTTCTTAGAACAAAATGTGTATATTATGGAAATGTGTATATTGTGTACAATTGTCTATTGTATATTATGAAAAAATTGTATAAAATGTGTATATTGTTATTTATTTATACTGTTAATTTTTCATATCTTGTTGCTTGTACTGCCATGGAACAGAGTCTTGTACCCAAGAATTTCACCATCGTTACACTTGTGTACGATGTGTGACAATAAAGAGATTTGATTTGATTTCACACACACACACACACGCACGACAGAAGTTAGCAAGAACACCACAAACCTCAATATATACAGTAAAATGTATAATATACATAATTATATGTAAAATATATATAAATATAAATATATAATATAATGAAACACTTACTTGTTGAGTGTGACCTGTCCTCCATCCAAAACCATATCCTCTCATCTGCTTCAATGGATGAAATATCGCTCTCTCCGTCAAAAAACACTTTTATTGTCCGGCCAATTTTATTGTTATACATTGTTTAACAACTTCTTAGAACAAAATGTTTGTTTTTCGCGTTCTCTTTGATTTTTTACCTATAACCACCTTTTCCCCGTTATCTCTCATAGAGCGCTCATTATGCACGGACGCACCAGTCTCTTATAATCCTTTGTGCACAAACTTCTGCGCATGATATGTTAAACTCGCCCACTAAAGTCGCATATTATTCTGTTCAGAAGTTCATTGGCTATCAGAAAGACAGTCATTTGCAAACTCTGATGCAATTGGATCGGTCCACTGTCCATCAAAGAGAGGCTTGCCTCATCCTTCATCCTGGAAGCTAGTTGGCTATCGCTGCCTGTAAACACCTCATAGATTCAGCTATTAGTTCAAATAAGGTGTCAATCAAAAGGGCAGAGGTCAGCGGCCATTTTGACTTCAATGATCCGGTTCCCTCTCATAGGCTCACTTGATGCTGCGATGATGTCATCGCTTTGGGAACACCTTCGGTGTGACGAATGTCTGAAGCCCTTATACCATCACGCCAATTCATTGGCCAAATAGCGCTTAGCACCGCCCCCAATGCGCACGTAGGTGAGCTATATAGCGTGCTGCGTGCTATTTCCATCAGATTTCATTTTCTTCAGGAAGCAAATCATCTGTCGCCCGTAGAAAAGCGTTATTTTTGTCGTGTTCTTAGCTAATTCCTTCTAAAGAGCAGTTTACGCCTCTTCAGCGGACATGATGAGCTACAAGAGATGCATCGAGCCATGTGACTGGTTCATCGCAGGAGGAGACACTCATGACAGGTGCGTGCAATGTTTGGGCCTACAACACGCCCAAGCGGCGCTTAGCGGCCTTTCTGATTGTCGACACTGTGATAGCCTACGGCTAAAAGCACTGCGCTCGAGGTTTGCGGCCTTCTCAAATAAAGAAGGCCTCGCGTCTAACCCCCGCTATCCCGTTTCTGCGGTTGCCGAGGCGCCGCACGAGACGGTCGCTTGGGGTGACGCATGCGAGCCGAGGCGCTTACAGGGTGAGTCAACGGAGATCTCTCCTTTTCTCTCGCTCTCTCCAGGCCATGTGCAAGCGCTCGAGGAGTGCTACGGGGATCCCGTGGTCTTCGTCAATGATAATTTGCAGCCTACCCCAGAAGCTTGCGATGCGATGTCTTTCGGTTGTATGCCGTATGACGAAGACGTGCTGTCCACAGCGGCCTCCGATTCTGAGGATTTATTGGGTGAAGTGTGCAGTTCTCTCCCTCTGAGTGGACAGGAGAAATGCAATTCTATGGGTGTACTCCAGGCTTATCAGGCAGATGTGCTCAAGGAGCTGGACGAGGGAGAAGGCCTGACCCCAGAGGCCGTTAAAGAGCTCAGACGAGCTACTGACTTGGCGCTTAGGGCTACCAAGCACACGGCTCGGGCAGTGGGCAGGTCCATGGCAGGTTTAGTGTCAGCTGAGCGCCATCTTTGGCTCACTCTCACTGACATTAAGGAGAAGGACAGGACCTTTCTTTTGGACGCCCCCATTTCGAGTGACGGTCTGTTCAGCGATTCGGTCACTACGGTCGTGGAGAAGTTTCGAGCAGCGAAACAGCAGTCCGCCGCGTTTCGTCAGCTCATCCCGCGCAGGGCTAGGGAAGTAGAGCGTCAACCACCTGCGGCTCGTTCACGCTCGTCCTCTTTACAGCGTCGCGAGGCCCAGCGGCATGAGCCATCGCCTAAGTTACCCTCTCGTAAGGACTGGGGTCCTAGGTCTCACCCACCTGCTCACCCACAACAACGCAAGCGGTTAGACCTGAGTTCGACGGCCAAGACCTCTCATTCTCAGGCTCCTAATAGCAGTTCCTGATTCCTTTGCTCGTCTTCGGAGGCCAGGCCCTCCTTTAGAGAGTGTGGATGAACCGCACAAGCCTATTCGCCTCTCTCGCTGTGGCCTCCTGACTCCGATCTCGACGGTCCTGCCGCATATTGCGCCTCGGGCAGTTTTAGGTCGAGTCCTTACGACGAGCACCCCCTCGGATACTCTGCGCGTTCCAGCCTTCAGAGTTCGAGAGAAAGCCCAAGGGTCATGCAAGCATGGCCCGTTTATGACGGCCCCCAAAGCTCCCACTTTTGGGGCGGTGGGCAGGCCCGACAGGACAATCGGACTTCTTCCCATTATAGCTTTTTCCGTCACTCAGGTGCTCTGGGATCCTATACGGGAGAATCAGGTGTACGTTCCTACCGTAGAACACCCAAGACCCCTGGCAGACTACTGGGCCACGTGGAGACGCCTGCATTGGCTCATTTCGTTTACGCTGGAAGTAGATTGGTCTCTCTAAGCGAGATCCCAATTCGTCAGTCACCGACGAACATACGTAACCGAGACGTTTTCATTTCATAGTTTCCTTTAATGTTACAGCACTGGCTAGAGCACCGGGTCACAGTGTTTCTACTTACTACTGAGTGAAATGTTTTTAAATGACTGTATTTCTAGGAAATAAGAAGACAACAAAAAAATTTATGCAAGAAAGAAATGACTGCGTTATTACTGCAAAAATCTTCTCAGCCACAAGAAGTATTATGCATTCTCCTGCTAATATGTCATCATATGGGATGCATTTACAGGGCCTGCTCACAGGGGCTCAGTTCGGCGTTTAAGCGGTCAACCCTGAAAAAAATAATTACGTATAAGGCTCCTCAAACCTAATAATTACATGCTGGAAATGACGGAGCTTTGGGTTTTCCATGGTGATGCAGGAGAAAAGAAAGATATGATTTCCCCCCTCTTTTACATTTTTTCCATTCTGTTTCGTATGAAATGATGCGGAAGCTCTATGAAACTGGAGCATTTCCCTTTAGCAGGCACGCACAAGACATTGGGTGATTTTAGACCACATTATGAGCTAATTGGTCGATGCTGAAACAACTGCCTGTGTTCAAGCAGCCACTGAAGGGCTGACTCAAGTGAGAACAAACCAAGGCCAAAGCTAAGGCTCAGAAGTCATTACTTTTGCAGCTTAAAGATTACGAAGGACAGTTTCTGCCCACAAATTCCTTGTTTTGCTGTAGATGACAGTGAGGAATTGTGAATTTATAGTGTCAGGGATTTCGTTAGTCCATTGGTTTAATGTAAACCCTGAGTTTACCTGTGTATATAATTTATTAGGTGGTGCGGTTATAAATTGCAGGGTTAAACGGAGCTGTGTTGTCCCTGGTCGGTTTCTGGTTGTGTCTTCATGTCTATGCATTTGTTTGCATGTTTTAGTTCTTTGTGCGTGTGCATGTGTGTGTTATTTGGTGCAAATCATGTGGCTATTTCTGCTGTGGTGCGCGGTTTCAGTTTCCACATCTCCCAGTGTTGCTACTGGCTCTGAACGCCAGTCAGCTCAGATGCCAAATATCTGGAAAAGTAAGAATGACTCACTACTCAGGCTATACCATTTGCTCGCTTGCTTTCAGTATTTATATTAAAGGCCTTTGCCATTTTTCACATTATATGAGCATTATTGGTACACTTTTGCCTTGCTTACAGGCTCTCCATTCTCTCAGCAGTATTCTTATGTGAATAACCACATCATGTGCAATAATAAAACCACTGAGGACTGAGAGAGTTAAAGGGTCTTGGCACATGGCACTAGAAATATGGAGACGTTCCATCAGAAAATCGAGATTTTATGACACTTTTGAAAATTTAGTGCTCCAAGAGTAGAACAGATCTCCATGTTGGCAAAAATTTAGCTATTATTGTCAGTGCTCTGTGTGCTCTTTCAAACGTTGTAAGTGATAGACTTAGATTTAGATTTTGAGAAGGCAACATGATGCTCAAATATAAACAGTGTTAACAGTGGGAATATCATGTAGTGCAGATCGATGCAGTTTCCAGGGCTGTTTTATTTTGTACACATGAATTATGAAAAAATGTCTAACATGAATCTTGATAATCGTGCCAATATAAATAAGGAACGTATGTGAACTTAGTTTGCATTTTAACTGATAATTTAAAATCTACACGGTTACACTATCTAGTTTCGGAAAGGGCCACCTCCTTTCAGCGGGGTTCTTCCTATGACGGTACGTCCTGGGGAGGCCTCGATTTTAAGTCAGGAGATCGTGTCACTCCTAGAGAAAGGGGCTATAGAGGAGATACTCCCCACTCAGATGGAGTCAGGCTTCTACAGCCGGTATTTATATAGAGATATTTGTAGAGCTGCGGGCTGGGCGACCCCCAACATGTTCGCTAGATTCTATAGCCTTCGTGTGGAGCTGGTATCCTCCTGTGTTTTCACCTCAAACGGGTAGAAGCACTGAGAGGCTCTGGCTTCGGGTCGGCTTGCTAAAACCGCTTCAGAGAGTCCATATCGTAGACCCTGTCGAGCTCCTCCGTCCCCTCAGCGCCTTACTCGATGAATCCGTGAGAACCAGTAGAGGGCTGGGTTCCATATGTAGAGGCCTAAGTGGATCCCATATGTATAAAATCCACGGTATAGCCTCAGAGCCCGTGTTTCCCCCAGGCAGACTTTCTGCTATTTTCCAATAGGGTTACGATCACCTCTAATCTTCCATATGGTCCTAGATGGTTGTTCATATGTGTAAGTGCATCCGAAACCTCCTTCGGGAAGGATGGGCTTCCGCAACTTTCCGGTTCCAAGTGGAACGGGCACGTTTTCCCAGTGTTATCCAGTCTTACTGTGTGGGTAGTGCCATAGCAGCAGTAGCTGGTCTTCTTGTGGTAAGCCCCGGCCTAAGCCAAAAAGAAGGGGCGCAGGTGGCTTCCACAGGACACTGGAAGGGGCAGTATCCATGACACTTTGGTAGGGATCACAATTCATCGGTCACCAAGGTGATGTCGAGAGTGACTGACTGAAAGGGAACGTCTCGGTTACGTATGTAACCCTTGTTCCCTTATGCGCTGCCTTACTTATACTCACACTGTGATCAGCAGCAGCTGGATGCAATAATTGCATGCCAATGTGCATTGGCTCATTGGCTCATTTACACTATCTAGTTTCGGAAAGGGCCACCTCCTTTCAGCGGGGTTCTTCCTATGACGGTACGTCCTGGGGAGGCCTCGATTTTAAGTCAGGAGATCGTGTCACTCCTAGAGAAAGGGGCTATAGAGGAGATACTCCCCACTCAGATGGAGTCAGGCTTCTACAGCCGGTATTTGTATAGAGATATTTGTAGAGCTGCGGGCTGGGCGACCCCCAACATGTTCGCTAGATTCTATAGCCTTCGTGTGGAGCTGGTATCCTCCTGTGTTTTCACCTCAAACGGGTAGAAGCACTGAGAGGCTCTGGCTTCGGGTCGGCTTGCTAAAACCGCTTCAGAGAGTCCATATCGTAGACCCTGTCGAGCTCCTCCGTCCCCTCAGCGCCTTACTCGATGAATCCGTGAGAACCAGTAGAGGGCTGGGTTCCATATGTAGAGGCCTAAGTGGATCCCATATGTATAAAATCCACGGTATAGCCTCAGAGCCCGTGTTTCCCCCAGGCAGACTTTCTGCTATTTTCCAATAGGGTTACGATCACCTCTAATCTTCCATATGCTCCTAGATGGTTGTTCATATGTGTAAGTGCATCCGAAACCTCCTTCGGGAAGGATGGGCTTCCGCAACTTTCCGGTTCCAAGTGGAACGGGCACGTTTTCCCAGTGTTATCCAGTCTTACTGTGTGGGTAGTGCCATAGCAGCAGTAGCTGGTCTTCTTGTGGTAAGCCCCGGCCTAAGCCAAAAAGAAGGGGCGCAGGTGGCTTCCACAGGACACTGGAAGGGGCAGTATCCATGACACTTTGGTAGGGATCACAATTCATCGGTCACCAAGGTGATGTCGAGAGTGACTGACTGAAAGGGAACGTCTCGGTTACGTATGTAACCCTTGTTCCCTGAAGGAGGTAACGGAGACGTCACGTCCCGTCGCCACGGATGCTGTACCACCGCTGGGCAGTCGGGTCACTGGCTCGGTTCCTCAGCGAAAACCTAAATATGCGCTGCACTGGCTGCTTACTTATACTCACACTGTGATCAGCAGCAGCTGGATGCAATAATTGCATGCCAATGTGCATTGGCTCATTTCGTTTACGCTGGAAGTAGATTGGTCTCTCTAAGTGAGATCCCAATTCGTCAGTCACCGACGAACATACGTAACCGAGACGTTTTCATTTCATAGTTTCCTTTAATGTTACAGCACTGGCTAGAGCACCGGGTCTCAGTGTTTCTACTTACTACTGAGTGAAATGTTTTTAAATGACTGTATTTCTAGGAAATAAGAGGACAACAAAAAAATTTATGCAAGAAAGAAATGACTGCGTTATTACTGCAAAAATCTTCTCAGCCACAAGAAGTATTATGCATTCTCCTGCTAATATGTCATCATATGGGATGCATTTACAGGGCCTGCTCACAGGGGCTCAGTTCGGCGTTTAAGCGGTCAACCCTGAAAAAAATAATTACGTATAAGGCTCCTCAAACCTAATAATTACATGCTGGAAATGACGGAGCTTTGGGTTTTCCATGGTGATGCAGGAGAAAAGAAAGATATGATTTCCCCCCTCTTTTACATTTTTTCCATTCTGTTTCGTATGAAATGATGCGGAAGCTCTATGAAACTGGAGCATTTCCCTTTAGCAGGCACGCACAAGACATTGGGTGATTTTAGACCACATTATGAGCTAATTGGTCGATGCTGAAACAACTGCCTGTGTTCAAGCAGCCACTGAAGGGCTGACTCAAGTGAGAACAAACCAAGGCCAAAGCTAAGGCTCAGAAGTCATTACTTTTGCAGCTTAAAGATTACGAAGGACAGTTTCTGCCCACAAATTCCTTGTTTTGCTGTAGATGACAGTGAGGAATTGTGAATTTATAGTGTCAGGGATTTCGTTAGTCCATTGGTTTAATGTAAACCCTGAGTTTACCTGTGTATATAATTTATTAGGTGGTGCGGTTATAAATTGCAGGGTTAAACGGAGCTGTGTTGTCCCTGGTCGGTTTCTGGTTGTGTCTTCATGTCTATGCATTTGTTTGCATGTTTTAGTTCTTTGTGCGTGTGCATGTGTGTGTTATTTGGTGCAAATCATGTGGCTATTTCTGCTGTGGTGCGCGGTTTCAGTTTCCACATCTCCCAGTGTTGCTACTGGCTCTGAACGCCAGTCAGCTCAGATGCCAAATATCTGGAAAAGTAAGAATGACTCACTACTCAGGCTATACCATTTGCTCGCTTGCTTTCAGTATTTATATTAAAGGCCTTTGCCATTTTTCACATTATATGAGCATTATTGGTACACTTTTGCCTTGCTTACAGGCTCTCCATTCTCTCAGCAGTATTCTTATGTGAATAACCACATCATGTGCAATAATAAAACCACTGAGGACTGAGAGAGTTAAAGGGTCTTGGCACATGGCACTAGAAATATGGAGACGTTCCATCAGAAAATCGAGATTTTATGACACTTTTGAAAATTTAGTGCTCCAAGAGTAGAACAGATCTCCATGTTGGCAAAAATTTAGCTATTATTGTCAGTGCTCTGTGTGCTCTTTCAAACGTTGTAAGTGATAGACTTAGATTTAGATTTTGAGAAGGCAACATGATGCTCAAATATAAACAGTGTTAACAGTGGGAATATCATGTAGTGCAGATCGATGCAGTTTCCAGGGCTGTTTTATTTTGTACACATGAATTATGAAAAAATGTCTAACATGAATCTTGATAATCGTGCCAATATAAATAAGGAACGTATGTGAACTTAGTTTGCATTTTAACTGATAATTTAAAATCTTTTTTTATGTATAACTTGGGGGTAGCTTTAGATTTCAGTGTATGTTTGCATTTTGGCAGTTTTTTTTTTTTTTTACAAAAAATTTAACCAAAAGAAATGGCGACACAGTCTCATGGCAGTTTGTTGCTATATTTTCGCAACATATATTGTGAATTGTTGTCGAATTCATATGAAATCATAGAACCTCATTTGTAAATTTCCATATGATCTTACACCCGACTGAGGGTTAGATTTAGGTTAAGAGTGGACCTTTATGAATATTCCTAAAAAACATGTGTTTTCCTACAAATCAATTGGAATTTTGAGTTCAAAATCCACATAAAATAGTTGTTTTTTATGTGATCGGTTTGACTTCATCAGGTTACACCAATTTGTAAGTTTTTTAAGGGTTACATCAGGAAAAATAGCTCCTTTAGATAACAATCTTCTTTTTTCCCCAAAGTATATATTAATCTTCAAAACAAAAACAAAAAATATAATATATATATATATATATACAGTGGGTACGGAAAGTATTCTATATACAGTGGGTACGGAAAGTATTCAGACCCCCTTAATTCACATTCCCCAGCTCCACCTGTATAGATCTGTTACGAGGTGATTCATGTATGCTATATGGGGTTATTTCATGTATGTTATATTTGCTGCTGCAATATTTCTTACATGCTCACAGCAGCATGTTGTGGATGTATTGGCAGTAGCAAGTCTTGGTACTTGCTCTGCCGCAGCAGCGTAGCAGATCTATTCCGCCAAGACCAAATGCATTAACATTGTCATGTACATTACCATGCCAATCCCTCCGAGAGTTGTCATAACAGAAATATAAATATACAGTATATATAAAAAACTCTAAATTGTTCACTCTTAATCCTGCAGGTGCAATTCAATCTCTCGCACATCATAGTGTCTAAGCTACAATTTTTGACTTCAGTGTGGATGACGTCCAGTTCAGCACCACTGTTAATGGAACAGTAGCACAGAACTGAGATGATTGTCTGTGGACGTCATTTTTTGTGCCTATGGTTTCCAGACCAACAAATCAAAGTTTAGCGAATGTGTTTCTGCTCAGTGTAAACTCATTCAAGAACAAAGCCAAAAATCAACCATCAAACCTGACCTTGACTGCTGCGTCCTTAAAGGAACTCTGACACTAGCTGAGAAGCAATGAAAATCGGACATTGTTTTTCAACAATATTATTTGCCTGTTTATTTGTGTAGTTCTGTCATAGTTTATCTTTGAACTGAACAGCATAACCAGCAAAAATAGCCCTTTCATGGCAGATCTCAGGGAGCGAGAAGAGCAGTTGGAATGCAAATGACTGAGATCACGATTTACAGTCCAAACCACTGGATTTCAACACAGTGAGAGTGTTGATTCGGGTTTTAGCATACCGAGATTACACAAGTTAAGCTCTTGATAAAATATTGTACATTGGGAAAGCAAAGCTTTCATCACAGCTTGCGAGTGAGTGCGAGGACACTGGTGTCTTTGCCCAAACCACTGAATTCCTTCAGTTGAATGTTGCCTGTCAGTCAAATGGCCAAACACATCACACTCTGCATGTCTGATTGGTTGAATCTTGCTTCCATGGCCTAACCACAAAATCTCTGATTCCTAGGATGATTTCATATGATTTGTGAACACATTTATGTTGAGGCCTAGAGAGTCATGTCGTATAGATTAATGTGATGTGAACTTTTTTAATGAAGGAGAATTCATGCTATATAAAATGTTATATAATGTACAAAAGCTAAAAGAACAACCTCTGTCAAATGCTATTTTTTCAAGACTGATTCTAAAAATCCTAAGTATAGGATACTAAGTATATGTGTTGATCCCATACTGGCGACTTCACAATGTTATTTGCCAGAATCGTGAAAAGTTTACATTTTCAGCTTGGGGTTGTGTACGTCAACCATCATCTGATCTCAGACAGTTTCTATTTTACATTTTGGAAGTGGGAAGAAATGTCAACAAAACAAAGCAGGAGTTTGACATTCAGATTACCACAGTTCAGCATTATTGACTGGTTGCCATGTTTTGAGTTTTTGCAGTGGGTGTGGATGGTTTGAAATCTTGTGTGTGTGGGGCTGAGAATTGACTACTGATTGTTCTGGTTTTGTCTGTGAAGAATGTGGCGAAATCATCATCTGTTACAGAAGTGGTGGAGGGGGACAGAGGAGAGAATTTAAAGTTTTGAAGAGATTACGTGTGTCTGGAGTGCTGTTGATCTTGTTGTGGAAGTATGAAGATTTGGCAGTATGGACTTCAGCAGAGAAAGATGAACGCAAAGACTGATACATACTCAGGTCTGAGGGATCTTTAGATTTGCACCATTTTCTCTCTGCTGCCCTGAGTTTGGTCCGATGCTCACGAAGAACATCGGATAACCAGGGGTTAGAAGGGGCAGCTTGAAAACGGCACAGCCGTTGTTAAAGGGGTCATATGATGCGATTTAAATTTTTCCTTTCTCTTTGAAGTGTTACAAGCTCTTGGTGCATAGAGAAGATCTGTAAAGTTGCAAAGACTAAAGTCTCAAATCCAAAGAGATATTCTTTATAAAAGTTAAGAGTCAACCACGCCTACCTAAAACGGCTCGTTCTAACACGCCCCCACATGTCTACGTCACGATGTGGGAAGATTTGCATAACGCCGCCCAAATGTTCACGCAAAGAAAGAAGGCGTAACTTTTATTCTCGTTGTAGTATTGTTGTTGCCGCCGCCGCCATGCCATGGAGAAACTGTGTTTTGTTGTGAAAGCGAAACTATTTTGTTTGGCCTTCCAAAAGAGGACGATATTATATTATTAGGTTATTGGGATAATTGTTTGCAGTTGCTACTGCTGGTAGAAGGTTTGTGGTAATGAGGTAAGTGTTGCTCCTGCAGAGGATATGTATTCATTTCCAACCTCTTCTCAACAAGGGGCTCGGGACCCCCCACATGTTGGTGGAAGAAATAAAGGTATGATTTCCAGTAAAAAACTACTTCTCGAAAATGTGTTTCTCCAGTCCATGCTTTATGTTATTCCCACTTTTTCTCTCTTTATTGAATTCTTCTCTGACTTTAAATATTGGCATGGCAATTTTGGTCAGTAGCTCAACATCATGAACGAAAGCATTTCTTCCATGTGGAAACAGTGAGCGAAGAAACCCGGTTCCCTCTCAGGCCCCTATCCTCTTTTGAGAGAAAGAACTAGACTTTATTTTTAATTGCAGGTTCCTCTTCAATTTATCATTTGTTTGGACTGTTGACATTTTGCAAACTGACAGTGGGGATTCTTGAGCTATGAGTTACAACCTCACAATACTGGTAAAAGTTGCCTCATGTTGTGTTGTGTAACCAAATAGCCCCTTCCATCTATCCATTTACCCAGTTTTTCATTCCTCAATTTGCTTGTCTTAGCAGAGGACAAAAGTTTGCAAGAGGAGTCAGAAGAAAGATCTGTTTTGATGAGAAGTCTTAATTAACTACTTTATATTTTCATTGATATGGCCCTTAG